CCACCTATTCATATTTCATCTGGTAATGGTCAAAACAGTTTTACTCAACAACCAATAAAAGCAACACATTTTCGCACTATGCAGAAGGACATTGCGCATCAGTCCTGTAACCAGTTTAACAAAGTGTATTGTGTTTAGAGAATTATCTCGAAGTGACTTGAGAATCTCAAAGGGTCTCAGATTCACATGGCAGGTATGATCTCTTAGAGAGCTCTCAGCAGAGGAGGCAGGTGCATGGTATTTGCAGCGATAGCCTTTGTTCTGGCTCTTAAGCTTCAGAAAACAATATAGATTATTACTGATTTTTTAAAAAAATTCATTAGATAAGAACTCAAGAATAAGAAACAGGGTGTGGTAACTTGAGCATCATTTTTGTTTCTGAGTTTGCTCAATGGGGAATTTTACTTTGAGAGTGCCAGTTCTTCCTTGTGGGACATTCTCAGGTCTGCTCTGTGAACTGAGATTTACCCAAGCCCGCCTTTTACTTCTTCCAATCACAGTGAAAGCATTGTATTTTGGTGTGGTGTGATGTTATTCCTAATTATACTTATTTCCTTTCATTTCCTAAGGGAATTACAGTACATCTTGCATATACAGTACTGTTTTATTATAACCCTTGTGACGGGAGCGAATATGTTCTAAAGAGATGCTTATGCATTTCCCTTTGGTTATCATATTATTGAAATGATACATCACAAGAAACTGGGATATCCTTAGAAGCATCATGCTTTAAAACCTAGTAAGCTTGTTTCTTGAAACTGGTTTTACATTGTTCTGATAATTTTCAGATAAACTTAGAGGAGGAAAAAACGATGATGGGTGGGAGCATACCTTGACTGCAACTGCTTATCTAGCTATGCACCTCTCACCCTTTGTTTAAGTCTGTTAGTGTCATGCTGGAAAACTTGGGGTCACTGTACTCTGCTCCTCTTTCCAATATGTCCACATCGAAAGTATCTCCTTTTTCATCTTTTCATCATGAGTTTGTCTGTTAATTGGACTACTCAGGAGAGGTGGTGAACCTGGCATGTTTGAGGGCTTACAGGACCCAAACATGCAAACATGCACCCTAAATACAGTAATGTTGCCATTTTCTTTTTTTAAAAAACTTTAAGAAAACCAATAGAATCAAGAATGACACAAGAAGAATGTGCTTAGGCTGGAGGTGCCCATGACAGTCAAAAGTGGCCATGATTCACCGGCTTTTATGCAATTTTTCTGGATTCAGAGTTTAAAATTTCTGACTAAAAAATATACAGAATAAATCTAAATTATTCTTTAAACAGTTTTAGTAGCTTGGAGAACTGGCCAGCAACAAACTAAAACATCTTTGTGCCTTGGCTGGCAATCAAAGCAATAGTGGAGAGGCTACCTTAAATGTCCTTCCCTATAATGAGATTGATGACTACCTTATATGCTGTCACAGAGCCTTCATCTAGTGACTGACAGAAGCAGAAGCAGACAGCCACAGATCAACACTGAACTCCTGGGACCCAGTTGTGGAGAGGGAGGAGAGATGAGCAAAGGGCTCAAGACTGGGCTGGTGAAACCCACAGAGACAGCGGACCTGAACAAAGGTAGCTCATGAACCCCAGACTAATGGCTGAGAGGCCAGCATTGGCCTGATCCAGACCCCCTGAACATGGATGTCAGTAAGGAGGCCTCAACAATCTATGGCGCCTCTGGTAGTAGATCAGTATTTATCCCTAGCATACAAATGGATTTGGCGAGCTCATTCTATATGCAGGGATGCTCTCTCAGCCTGGACACATGAGAAAGGGACTAGGCTCTTCCCTGGATGATATGACATACTTTGGAGATCCCCATGGATGGCCTCACCCTACCTAGGTAGCAGAATGGGGATGGAGTGGGGAGTTCGTGGGGGCAGGGGAGGAGTGAAGGGAGTAGGAGCTGGGATTGACAAGTGAAGAAGCCTTATTTTTTTAATTTAAATAAAAATAAATTTAAAAAATGATGTGAAAGTAACCTAGGGAGATGGGACACACATTCTGGAGAACTACCCATTAGATGTCAAAGACTAAAATGATGGGGAAATAGAAATCAAGCCAAAAACAGCCAACCAAACAAACAACCAACACCAAACAAACAAAATATAAATAGCAATTAAAAATGAGAGAAAGAGAGAAGAAGGTGGTTGAGTTGACCATGAGTATATCCTGTGGGTATGTCTTGAATGAGTACAATTTATGAGAGCATAATGCTGCACGGAACACATTTTCTATGCATTTTGCAAACAGAATGCCTTTCCCCTCAGGTTCAGGAATGCTGAGTTGTTTTATTGAAGCTGAAGCACAATCTCTAGTGCTCAGCATGACTCAAGGTCACAGACTAAATTTGTAGGCATAGATCCAGTGGAATTGCAGGGACTCATGTAACTTAAGTCCTACTATATACAGTGGGTATTTTATAGGCATCTACCATAGGCAATATGGGGAAGCCAGATGGACCTGCCCACCATACAGGGAGGTGTACTTGAGCCTGGAACAGCCAGTAAGCAGAGTTCCTCTGTGGCCTCTTCTTCAGTGATGAATCTGGTCATATAAGAAAAACAATACAGAGAAACCCTGTCTTGTAATACCAAAAAAAAAAGACAAACAAACTGCTTCCTCACCTATGTTAGTTTGGGTCATGGCATTTCATCATAGCAACAGAAAATTAAGTAATACAGAGGAAGGTTTGAGGATGTTGGAGTGGACAAGGACTTTTAAGTACATTAAACATAAATACATAAAGCAATTATATTTAATGAAGTAAACCTCCCCATACCAAAATATGTGATCAGTCGTGCAAATAAACAATGTCCAGGAAGGAAACTGTTTGATAACTGCACATCTGACAAGAAGTTGTGATTCAAGGTACTTAAAGAACTCAGTTCATAACACAAAGAGGGATGCTCTCTCAGCCTGGACTCTTAAGGGAGTGCCTGGACCTTGCCCTGAGTGAAATGACAGACTCTAGATATCCCCTATGTGGAAGGAAATGGCAATAGGGTGGAATCTGGGAGAGATGGTGGGGGGTGCAGGAGGAGGGGAGGGAGAGGGAACTGATTGACATGTAAAACAAGCTATTTAAAATAATAATAAAAATGATGATGATGATGATGATAAAAGAACTCAGTCCTGTAGAACATCCCACACACAGCCCAGTTGAAGTGAGCAATTCACAGTAGTAGATTTCTTAAAAGATACCATACAAATGTTCACTATTCAAGAAATACATACAACAATGTTTAAGATAACAAGTCAATAAAATCAAAGCCAAAATCAGTGCTCTCTGACATTAGGAAGAATGACTATCAGAAAAAAAACACAAAAGATAATATGTCTGGATGGGGTAGGGATTCAAGGGAGTTTTTATGTGCTATTGATACAAATGGGGGTCAGTGAAGATACAGAAAACCATATGGAGTGTCCTTAGAACTTTCAGTTAAAATTTCTTCGGTTGGATAATGAGATTGATGACTATGTTATATGCCATCCTAGAGCCTTCATCCAGTGGCTGATGGAAGCAGAGGCAGACACCCACAGGTAAACACTGAACTGAACTCCTGGAACCCAGTTGCAGAAAGGGAGGAGTGATGAGCAATGGGGTCAAGACTGGGCTGGTAAAACCCACAGAAACAGCTGACCTGTACGATGGGGAGCTTATGGACCCCAGACTAATGGCTGAGAGGTTAGCATGGGACTGATCCAGACCCCCTGAACTTGGGTGTCAGTGAGGAGGCCTCAGCAATCTATGAGGCCTCGGGTAGTAGATCAGTATTTATTCCTGGCATAGGAATGGACTTTGTGCACACATGGAGGGATGTTCTCTCAACCTGGACAAATGGGGGAGGGCCTAGGCCCTTCCCTGGATGATATGATAGACTTTGGAGATCCCCCATGGATGGCTTCATCCCTCCTGGGGAGTATAGGGGGGATGGGGTGGGAGATTGATGGTGTTGGTAGGTTTCCTGGGAGGAGGGAAAGGAGGAGAGGGAGCTGTGATTGACATGTGCAGGAACCTTGTTTCTAATTTAAATTAAAATAGAAGGAAGAAAAAAAATCTTTGGTTAGAAGCATAATCTTTATACAAAAAAATTGACTTGCATTAGACCATGATTGCTTATGTTGTTGTGTATTTCAATATTTACTTCCTTGTACATTATTGGTTGTATTTAATTGTAAGTACAAACATAGTTGAACTGACATTTAGATTTGGGTGAATGTTCAGGGATTTCTCAGTTCGTGGTTGCCATAAAGGAAAGATATAGTGTGTCTTACTGGGAAAAAATGTTATTTTTAATAGTAAATAACTCAAAATGGAAAGATTAGATTACTGGGTATATAAACCTTAAATGTTTGAGAACATAGTTTTGCCTTCATATGTGTGACGTGTGATATATAGTTGATGTTTCCAGCCACGAATTTTAATTCACATTCTCCTGATAACTAATGATGTAGTGACATTATTGTACAGTTCAGATCTCATGGGTTCTTTTAACATATTTCATGGGCAATGTTATAGATTAGAATTCTCTGGCATGCAAGACCATGCTAGACATTTCTGTGAGTATTTGGTTCTATATTAAAATGTCTGTTTATTTCTTCTTTATTTTTTTATGTCTTTGCAAATATCACTTTTACTTTGATAATAACAGTTTTTATTTTTTAGTTAGTGATTTCTTGATGTTCCCCTTTAGAAGAATTTACTTTTACCAATTTCTAAAATATTTTAGTTTTTCTTCTGTTTTATACTTTTACTTACATAATTTATGTTCCTAAAATAGATTCAGTGATTTCCAATGGATGAGTTTTATTTATTTTTGCCAAATTACTATAAAGCATCACATATTCTTCATTTGAAAATATGATTAATATACTTCTGTTGTAGTTCTGTAACTAACAGAAATATACAATTGTATGTTTTTAATCTCATGTATATGTATGTGTATTTGCATGTGGTGTGTGTGTGCACATGTACATGTGTGTGTAAAAATAAAACAAGAGACAAATTCTTGAAGTCAATTTTATCTTTGTATCTTTATATTAATTCTGGGGCTTGAACTCATTTTCCCAGGTTGGTTAGTGTTTTTACATGCTGGGTCATCTCACCAGCCCTCAATTTAATTTTTATTTTGAGCATACATTTGATGTTTCCAAAATGCAATTTTACCAGTATGTATTGACGACACAACTTAAGGGTTATCATTGTTCATTAAAATTGGTTTATTGATCCAAAGAGATAAAGACATCAGATCAACTCAATTAAAGATGTTATGAATATCATGCACAATATAAAGAAATGCATAATTAAATTATTACTGCCTTTAAGTAGTAACAAACTGTCAGGTTGATCACTGGTGCAGACCATGAGATGTTGTAGGCAGTATTGCCTGTAGGATCTTGCTGGTGAGAGACAGGGAGACAAGTTTGCACCATGTCACCCTCAAAATATCTGTAGGACGTCTGTCAGAATTTCACCATCCAGTGTACAGGAGCTTCAAAGGCAGCTATTTTACAAATAAAGGGATAAAACTGAGAAGTTCCCCCAGAGGATTAAGGGCATCATTGTAGAGATTGTATCTCAGTGGGTTGTGAGGCTGGAGCCCTGTCCTCTGTAGTCCCCTTTCTCCACTGTTCCCTTCAGCCAGCACTGTGTTCCCATGCTCCTGTCTCTACTTGAGGTGGCTGCTTGCATTTGAAAGTAACTTATTTCAAGACTGAACTAAAAGTTCTCTTGCTGGTACTATCTGTACATGTAAGGTCTACAATAAATCTGTCTCAACTGTCCAGTTATCTGTAGATTCTAGTTAGCCCTTCACTTGTTAATTCAACTCAAATTGCAAGCAGAGGATATAGTAAGATAAATGGAGACAAAGAATGATTTATATGAATTTCATGCCATTTACCTTCAGTACTGCATAATCCCATGTTTTTCCCCTGAGCTTTTGTTCTTATTTTTTAATTTTTTGGGAGGGGTTTCAAGGCAGCCCCTGAGGCAACACAAAGCAAACATGTCTCCAGTGGGTTCACAGTGGAAACCCTTGCTTCACAAATGTGTAAAATCAGCACTGTATCTTACATTAGGTAAAGCGGAGGAGGTGAAGTGAGGTCAGGGAGCTGCTACGGGGATTGGAAGCACAGGCATAAAACCCTCCCGATCAGCTCTGCAGTTTTGGGACTTGCTTAAGTTCGGTTTATCAATTTCTCAAGCTCTACCTGTCTGTTCTCCCCCACCCCTGTCTCTCTGCTCTCCCCACCCCTGACTTTCCCTTCATAGTGAATAGAGTATGGCTAATGAGGTTTTTTCAAATCAGTCTGTTAATGAGTCGTATCTTCCCACCCCTGTTTCTGTCCGGTTTGCATGACTTCCTTGTGTCTGTAATGCAGTCTCTGCTGGAAAGGCTATGTCTGGCCACTACATTTGGTTCTGTTTGCTTTGTGGCAAGTGAGAACTGTAGAAATATTGTTCACAAGCTGACCTGAACAAGGGAGAGCTATTGGACCCCCAGATTGATGGCTGACAGGCCAGCATGCGACTGATCAACACCCCCTGAATGTGGGTGCAAGTGAGGAGGCCTAGGCAATCTATGGGGCCTTGGGTAGTAGATCAGTATATATCTCTGGCATACAAATGGACTTTGGCTGCCCATCCCACAATTAGCAATGCTCTCTCAGCCTGGACTCTTTGTGGAGGGCCTAGACCCTGCCCTAAAGGAAATGATAGATTCAGGAGATCCCCCAATGAAGGCCTCACCCTCCCTGGGAAACGGAGTGGGGATTGGGTGGGGGGCTAGGATGCCTAGTTGGGGGGCGGGGGAGAAGGGGAGGGAGAGGGAGGTGGGATTCACATGTGAAATAAGCTTGATTCTAATTTAAATAAAAAATAAAAACAATTATTTTATTTTAAAAAGATTTCTGGAAATAAAAATATCTCCAGTTGTACAATAAATATACAAACTTGAAAAAAAAGAAATATTGTTCACAGAATATATTAACCAATGGTTGACCCAAGTTGGTTGATGAATATTCTGATTGTCTACAAGTGTGGAATGATTGGAAGACACATATTAAATATTTATTATCGAAATATGCATCACTTATGCTTTAATATGATTCAGGAAGGGATGTGGATGATGGAAGTGTGCATAAGAGCTTTACCTGAACCTCAAGATGGTACTGATGCAGATGGACCAAAGACAATAATGTGCGACTCTCAGATCCAGTGCATGTAGACTGTGCTCATTAGTTCTTTTCATTGTTAATACACAGCATTCCTAGTGTTTGAATTTGTAGTGTGGATCATGAGAGCAGATTTCTTTTAACTGGATTCAGATAATGAGAAAGCAGGAGGACTGAAAACAGGAAGGAAGCTGGCTCACATTTTCCTTGCCAAGAGACATTGAGCCAAATTATCAGAAAGTATTAGCAAGTGCTGAACATGTATCATCTTCACATTTCACAGCAGCATTCTAAAATGTAGAAATTGATTCGTAAGAAAAATTTTGTTGTCTAACACAAGAATATTTAAAATATTCTAGCCAAAATATTTCAAAATATGCAACACACACATATAGCAACTGCATTCTAACTTTCAAGAAATGCTTTAATTGTTTGGCAGCAGACCCTGCTCTTGACAGGCTTGAGAACAGAAGGCTTTAAAAGATGAAGATTTTGGCAGGACTCCCCCTCTTCCTTCCCGGCTGTACAAATGTCCATTGCAATCTGTCTAAGAGAGCAGTTCCAGTAAGCATGCTATAATTAGGATGCATTACTGACCTCCTGTAAGAAACCTTCATGATGAATTCATCCTTCTGATATCCCTGCTAACCCCAGTAACCACCCAAAACCTGTGCTCCTAGCTTATGTCTCATTCATCTGTTTGAAATGCTTTTCTCTACCATCTATGGCAGGTTTTGGACTTCCCTGTTAATGTACTGTCTAATTCCGCCCTTGCCTCTTCAATTCTAGGAGAAATCTATCTGACCTATTGTAACATTGCATGGCACAATATAACTGTAGTCTCCTAAGAAGAAAGTCACACCTTACTCTTTCTTAGAGTGCATTGTTGCTCTTGTTTCCCCTAATTTCTTTTGGAAGTTAATTCCATCACCTGCTACCTCACCATGATGGTGGACATTATACTTAGAATTGCTTAATTTTCTAATAATATTCATATTCTCTCCTGTTCTCCCTCTCTTTCTCCTTCCCACTCACCGTCTCTTGCTCTCTCCCTCTCTCCCTCCCCCAACCCTGTGTGTGTGTGTGTGTGTCTGAGAACATACCTAAAATCTGCAATCTGAGCTCAATTCTAACAGCCTTCAGTTCCCTCCCATGAGTTTAGAAAAGTACACATGCCTACTAATTTTTCATGGTTAAAATTTATAACCATATGTACTCATAACATATGGTTCATATATTCTACTATTATTATCCTTGTAACTTCATTCCCCAGACCTTGCTTTTTTATGTATTACTTTTCATATTTCCAACAAACCCTAAGGATGTCTGATAAACTAGAAAAGAATTTCTGCAAAGTTGTCATACCAAACATGCCAACATGTCTTCTTAGTTCCTTAAATTGAGTTTTGTCCTGAATTTGAAGTTGTATTCCTAAGAAGAAAGTCAGAGCCAGTCTTCATGGGGGTCTTCAATCCCAGCTTCCTGTCTACTCAAACTAGTGTGCCGATGGTTTTTATATCATGTATGCTATAATCTATTTTTATGTCTACTTTTATGTTGTCATCAATGTATGTAATGGTACAATTTGTACTGAGTTTACACTTTACTTTTGCTCAGAGACATTTTTTCCACTACTGGGCCTCAATCCTGGAGTATTGTGTATGCAGGCTAGTTCTCTACACTGGGGGACATCACCAACTCTCTTCATACTCTCAGAGATGAAGATTCAGTAGACATGTTTTAATAGAACTTTAACCCTAAGTTTCTTGATCCAGCTTACCTAACTCACTCTGTAAACCAAGTCAGCCTTGAACTATGAATCCTTATGCATCAGTCTTCTGCCTAGCTGGAATTATACATCTACATCACCAAGCACAGACTGTTTATAAATAGAATCTTTGCAAATATATTACTTGAATCCACAAGCAACAGTTGTGATACAGTGTACGTGCAGAAGTCACAGTAAAACTTTGGAAAGTCTGTACTCTTCAATGATGCATTGCTGTGTTTCCTGATAATTATTATATATTTTTAATCACAGGTCAGGCATGTTGATTACCTCATATTGACATCATGTATTATGTTTCCTTGGCTTGTTAATAAGCAGGCATGCTTTGCATTTCTTCTCTAGCCTGTCAGGCATTGTTTGCTTCTTTTCATCGTACTTTTTGTGTGTTGCTTTAACCCAGAAGCAGGACTCTTTCTCATTGTATCAGAGGTCAAAGTCAGTCAATGGAGATATTTTAGTTCTTCTTTGACAGTATGATAGCTATGTCATCAACTAAGAAATTGTTTTGAAGCAAGTCAATATTTTCACATGTTTGACCAAGCTTTCTTCATGTGATGTTTCATGAAAGACAAGCTCTACACTGTCTGATGTGCTCTCTAACACAATATCATGGGTCTTATCCTCTGGCTTCTGTGTTACCCTCTTGTGTCTTCATGCTCATTGGACTTGAAACTAGGTCATGAGCTGGTCAATGATAAAATGAAGATACAAAAATCTGAAGTGCTCTAAATCCAAAATATTCCGATTGATTTCTTTAAAAACATGTACCCATGCGATGTACGTTTTTTAGACTGTTATTGTACAGCACAGGCTGGCCTTGGATTTAGAGAAATCCTCTTGACTCTGCATCTAAATGATGAGATTATAGATGTGTTTTGTGACAACTGACTCCAAAATATTTTTACGTAGAATGTAGAAAGTCCATACAGGACTGGTCATTTCATATGCAAAACTGTTAAAATATGGTACTATTTATGAGCTATAAAGGAAACACAAACCAGTGCAGTGCCCACATGTTAGTCTAATAAGAATTATTTAACCAAGATATTTCATCACATGTATGACAACCGTGGTCCCATGACTTCAAACCTGTAGTAGCTTTATCAGGATTTTCTCAGGTGTTCAAGAGAAACCACCATTAAAGCATTTTTTAAACTGAAAAAATGCCATTGATCTGTTACAATGTGAGATTACATCTTAAGTAACAGTGTTTTCTTTGCATGAGAGAAGTTCTGTTATTATAAAGATTTTCAGAATTATTTGTGGTCATATTGATCTGCACTTACAGGATCTGGGGAAAAGCATCTCCATGGGTAGATACTTAATTCCTGCTGACAGTCATTTTCCATAAAACTGTAAAGAAACAGCTTTTTCCCATCCTTTAAAGTTGTAGACCTTTAAAGGAAATGTGAATTGTGCATGTAGTTCATCAAGTTTGCAGTTAAACTTTGCATATCCTGTCCAGTCCTCTAATATACTCTTGTTACCTTGACCACATGTTATCATTTGTAAAATGGGTCAGCAATGCCAGTTTGCAGATGCGTTGAGAGCATGCTACAGACAGCAGTAATAAAGTCCTGGCATGGTAGCCACTGAGGATAACATGTCACTTTCCTTGTGTTTAGTAACATCAAGTTTCATTTACATGTACATAAGTGCCCTGTATAATTTATACGGTACCTTAAATTCCCTGATCTTTGATTTTTTAATATTTCACGAGAATAATATGTGTTTTCCATGCTGTATTGTGATAATAACCACAAATACAGTCTAAAAACACACAATATATGCTAGTGTAAATAGAAACCACTACTAGATTAAAGTTAGAATTGGCTTGTGATAGACTTCTCAGACCTAGAAAAAAAATTAGTTACCAAGAAGCTCATGCCTTGCGTTAATCCAATCTGGTTTTCAATACAAGTTCTAGCAAGGTGTGAATAGCTGTATTTGATACCCTATAACTCTGTGGATGAATGGTCTGTGGTCTGTGCTTCCCATTTGTCTGTTCATTTCATTCCTCAGCTGAGTGAGTCATCAGGACCTGTTGCTGCAGTATAAATGTTTTCTCCACACACTCTCTACTACATGCTGTGTCCCACACCTTCAGTCAGTAACACTGATCTATATCTGATTCATTGTTGTAATCTTATTTTAGCAGCAAGAGAGCAGAGGATTTGTTTCATACATTATTAATCCCCAGAAAAGGCCCGAGTCTTCCATTGATATCCTCTAGGTGAGTAGGTAAAAAGAAAATGATGTACTTACTTCCTGTGTGCTCGCTGTTGTCTCATTCAATATAGGTGGAGACCGAGCTCATTTCACTCAGTAACAGAACAAAGAGAGAAGCTTGAAAACACGCTGCTCCGCCTGAGGAGGGTAACAGGCTCACCTCAGGCTCATCCCTTGCTGTCTGTGTCTATACTAAGAGAGTAGGAGATGGATCAAACAGGTCAATACTTTGTACAGTAGCAATTCTTACCATGTATTTTCAGTTTGGAATCAAACCAGTGTTTCATCTATGCAATACCAGTGCCATGCCATCAAGCTACATTCTGAGCCTCAAAGGAGGATTTTTTAACCAAATTATTTCATTTCCTATTATATTTATTTTGTAATTTAAATCTGGATAAAAGTTTTACCAGGAGCAATGGACAGTGACAGTGAATGCAGGCAGTGTTGGTGGTAGAATCTAAACTGGCTTTTAGCAGAAATTATGCCACCTGAAGCAACATGGCAGCAGGTTCTCTCAGCTTATAAACGTCCTGAAAATTAAGCACTATGATTAACCCTATGTCCTGTTAACCCCAGCATCTGTGTTTTCTACCCTGCATTTTAAGTTGTAGTTCTGTAAATCTAGCCTTTATAATTGAGCAAGAATGAGGAGCTGGAGAGTGGACTAAATCGTTAATGGTTCTTGTTTGTCCCAGAACCAAATTCTAGTTCCTAGAACACTCATGAGGAGTCCACAGCCACATAGAACACTAACTCCAGAAGTCTAATGCCCTCTTCTGGTCATTAGGGGTACTGACACGGGTACATATACATATATGTGCACCTCCCACATGCATGCACACACAGACACACACACACACACAGAGATTGAGAGAGAGAGAGAGAGAGAGAGAGAGAGAGAGAGAGAGAGGGAGACAGAACCAAATTCTAGTTCCTAGAGTACTCATGAGAAGTCCACAGCCACATAGATCTCTATCTCTAGGAGGTCTACTGCCTTCTTCTGGCCTCTGTGGATACTGACACAATTACACACACACACACACACACACACACACACACACACACACACACAACCACACAGAGCCAGGGGTGGGAAGACAGAGAGAGAGTCAGGGAGAGACAGAGAGACAGACAAATTAAGTAAGACACTAAAATTTCAATAAATCTAAACTCTGAGGATCTTCCTCATGCTCCTATCTGTCCACATTATAGATCTTTTTACTTATAAACTGTCAAAATGTCCCAAGTTCTCAGGAATTTGCACTCAGTGGTAGAGTAAAACTTCTTGGTTTCAAATTCTCAGTCACCTCTAGGTTATAGTTAATGGAAATCCTTCAAGAATTTGATAGTTCAAGAGAACAGTCCATATTCATCTGTATTCCTCACTCTCTTATTCATTACAATTTTCCCATCCTGCAGCTATATATCAGTCTTCTTAACAACATAAATACGTAAAAGTATCCAGAAAAGAAATTTCCAGGGTGAAATGAACTTACCAAGGAACCAATCTTGACACAAATTGTTCGAGAAATATGAAATTATCCAGGAGTGGATAATTTCTAGATCATTTTGAGACTGGGTTTATTTCAATGTCTAAACCAGATCAAACTATAGCAATGAAGGAAAATTAGAGACCCATACCAAATCAGAACACAGATACAAAACTATAAAACTATAAATCTACAAAAATATTTAGAACAAGAATTTCAGACATATATAATCGAATAATGCATTATAATTAATTTAAATTTATCCCTACAAGTGACTCCTGAGGCAATATGTCCAATTTTATGTCTTTTTGGATGTTCTTTAAAAAATTCTTGATCCAAAGTGTAAAGCTGCTACTCTCAAAGTTGTATGTTTATAGTACAAAATAATGAATTTAGAAATGGTGTGCACATATGTGAAAGATATGAAACTGAAAGTTGAATCTTTGTTTTTTTAATTTTTTTGCTTTTCAAGACAAGTTTTCTCTGTAGGTTTGGAGACTGTCCTGGAACTCTCTTTGAAGACCAGGCTGGCCTCGAACTCACAGAGATTGCCTGCCTCTGTCTCCCGAGTGCTGGGATTAAAAGCATGCACCCACACTGCCCGTCTTAATCTTTATATTTTTAAACAGTTTTTGAGTTTAGTTCAGGCATAGAAGTGGATCAGTGGAGTATATGGTAGGCAGGAGTTCTTCCTGTACAGAAGCGCACAGGCATAGTGCACACTGACTTATTATTGTTCCTCTCACCGCTACTGTATAGACCTGTCTCCTTCACTTCTCTAACCTGTTCTTGCCTCTGTGACTTGGCATCTTTTAAGATGATGTTCAAAGAAAAACAACACAGTCTTCCACCTTCTCCTTGATGTGCTTCAGAGCTGGACCACTTTTCAGCAAGGGCAACTGTGGTGACGCTAGACAGCTTGGCACTCTCTCTCTACCTTAAGGAACACTGTTCACAGACTCATGAGGATAAGCAGCCAGGCCCAGGTGTGATGTGCAGAGGTGGATAAAGATGGGGATTCTGCTTTAAAGACCTGAGATGAGAGGGGAGATGAGATAGGAATCAAATAATTCCACGTGAAAGTATAAAATGATAACAGTATCAATTTTGGAAAAAAATTGTTATGGTATAAGAAAAAGATATACAGTTGTAACCAAGTCAGGGACGGTGTCACTGCAAAGGCATAGACAGGTGTTTAAAGAGACGATAGAAAATCCAAGAAGTTTACATGGCTACTTCAGGACAGAGAAACCTGGTCTAGTCATATGAAAGCCATAAACTTGTTTTGTGTTTCTCTCTGCCTGGTTTATGAGAAGCAGACTATTATTATACTATTCCTACATAAGGCATAAATACAGTCATTTAGGAATGTTCTTTAGGGATTTATAACATGCATATGATGCAATTTAAAGAGACATGTTTGTGGATCCAGAAAACCAAAGTTCAGATTGTGTCTGAGTTTTTATGTTTAAGTTCTGACAGTCTGTGGAAGAGATTCCCACTCTGTAAATGTTCTCTCTCTCTCTCTCTCTCTCTCTCTCTCTCTCTCTCTCTCTCTCTCTCTCTCTCATATATACATATATACATATATGTATGTGTGTGTATGTGTATGTATTTTCTCAACAACATAAATATGAATCAATATGAATTATGAATTCACTGCTCCTTTAAACTCCAGGAAAACTACAGAGTTTTAATTGAGACGTATGACAAACACATTCTCTCCTCTTCACCCAAGATGCAGATCCCCAATAATCCAGTCTTCGGGTCTTAATATGGTTGCACCAAAGATAATTTCATGAATGATTTGATTTTGTAAATTATTTATTACTCTCCCTTTTATTTTTGGAAATAATATCTCACTGTATAGTCCTAGCTTGCCTGGAATTCTGTAGTTAGAACTAGTTGGCTTCAGACTCACACAAACCTACTTGTCTCTTTTTCAAAAGCTGTGACCAAAGGCATTCTCCTCCACACCTTGTTAAAAATATTTATTTACTTAATTTTATGAGTATGTATATACGCCTGATTATATATATATATATATATGTGTGTGTGTGTATGAGTGTGTCTGTGTGTCTGTATGTGTGTGTGTGTGTGTCTGTATGTGTGTGTGTGAGTGTGTCTGTATGTGTGTGTGTGTGTGTACATGCACAGCCGCCCACAACCACATATACGCTGTGGTGTGTGGGTATAGGGGGTGTTCGTGTACCACTGTGAACAGGAGCCAGAGGAGGTCAGAAGATGGCATTTGATCTCCTAAAACTGTACTTACTGGTGTGTGAGACATCATGTTGATGCTAGGAATCAAATTAAGGTGTTCTGTCTGAGCAAGCATTCTTAACCACTGAGACATCGCTAGAGCTTTTTGATCTTTTAATAATTATTATAAATTTCACATATGAACATAATATGTTTCCATCAAATCCAATTCCAGTGACCTCCTCTATATTCTCCCTACTGCTCACCACTTTTTCTTTCCTGCTTCATGTGCTCTTAAAAACCATTGATTCCTCTCAGAATTGTCAGTTAGTGCACGGTTCTGGGATGATTCCCTGGGAGAGATACAGATACATCCTATTAGCAATTTTGATAACCTGTAACCTGTAGTTGATTGATAAGTAAATGATTCTTCTCTTATTTTAAACTGAGTGTCTTCCAGCATAACAAAAACAAAACAAAACAAAACAAACTGTTCTTTTTGGCAACATAAAAGACACTAATTCATAGATTTGGAATATAAGTACATGACATTGCTACTTGCTTTATTTGAATTGATGTGAAATTATGCAAACCAGTAATGATGACAGGATCTGAATTTGTAATTATTAAGAAGATAGGATTTGTTATTATTTTTTCAGCTTCTTCCAATCTGCATATACTTATGACATAGGGTTTGTAGAGAAAAATAATATTTTATCTTAGTTTAATACCAAACAGACAAACTGATTTGCTCTATAGTTTTTGATCACACCACACTGATTATTTATTTGAAACCAAGCTGAAGAGCAAGATATTATTTTTCTCTATATTTATATGTGTTTGCTCTTTCTGTATATTTATATGTGCCTATGAGTACAGGTGATTATGGAAGGCAGCAGAGGGCATCTGATCCCCTGGAGATGGAGTTGCAGGCTGTTGAGAGACACTGATGTGGCTTCTGAAGACTGAACGCCCCTTTGCAAGAGCAGCAAGCCACTTTACAGCCCACAAGCTATTTCTGCTGGGATTGATTTCAATTTTCCAGCTGATGATTCTAATCGGTCACTTTGTTACTGTAAGTGATACTCAATTTATTCTACTATTTTCAATACATTCATGGTGGTCATCCAAATAAAAATTCCTAGAATAGGTTGGTGAGGTCAAACTGGCTGTTCCATTTTTCACATGTGAAAGATGGTGTCCCCTGCCATCTACAAAGGTTCAGTGTCACCTGGCTTTGTGTGCTTCCCTCTTCTTTATCAATACTAACTGAGGCAACACCTAGACAGGCTTTCTGCCAATTTGATGGTCAACTATTGTTCCTGGGATGTTTTACCAAATATCTTTTTCCTGAACTTTATGATTGATACCAAGACCCCTGTACAGAGATTTGCCTTTTTAGAGGTTTCTCAACTAGAATGTCCTTAGCAGGAATTTTGGCACACTGCAGTGTAAAAGCAGACTTGATGATACTAGAGTGAACTCATGAAACTACGCATTGTTCCCTTAATGACAATGACAAGAAAATGAGCTAAACTTTATGGATTTCTCCAAAGCTTCCAGTAAGAGATGATATTCATAAGAAAGCAACTTACAGAAACTAAAATAAGTTGTGTGGTACAGGGGAATCTAGAGCATTTAAAGTCAAGAAATACCAAGAAAGTCATAAATTCACAAGATCACTGAGCAAATAAGGAGTTTTCCTTCCTTGTTTCTTTTCTTTCTTTCCTTCCTTTCTTCCTTCCATCCTTCCATTCCTTTGTTCCCCTGAATTTTAGTTATTTGAAATAAAATAAGAGGAGAAAATTGTTTTTGTGTAACAAAAGAAAACCCTTTAGAAGCCAATAAATTACAAACCCTGACCGATTTTATATAATTAAATAAACATCAATATAATAATTAAACACAAATATTTGAATTTCACATGTTTCCAATCACATCCTGTACACTGTTTATGCAAAAAAATGAGAGATTCTTTTCCCTATGGCAAAATAGGGAAAATTCTTTTGGTCTATTACTTCATTAATTGGAAATGCCTATAACATACATTTATGTTTGTTGCTTAGCTTGGAGCAATCTTGGAAAATGTGAGTTGCATATGAAAATGGCAAGTTGAGTTCCCAAAAATAACAACTGTATTGCAGGTCATGCTTAGATCCATAAACACAAGACTTTTTTCTTTTATTTATTTATTTATGTGGGGATTTTTTGCCTTTGAGCTTATGCTCTTTTTAAATGGTAAGAAGTTAACACCACCTGGGACTTAAAGAAGCAGCCTTTTACTTAAAGATCATAAAGATTTTGTAAGGATATGACATGATTGAGTGACAGTTGTGAGGAAAGCAACACATTCCTTCTTTAATGGATAGAAAAATTGGTATTGTTTTTTAAGAGACTCAGTGCAAATCTGCATAACATAAACACAGGTTTCTTTAAATGTGATGTTGCAGAGCTAACAGATATTATTTTTTAAGAATCATAGCTCATAGCCACTTAATGATTGATTTCACACTGTATTTTATTTTATAAGTAGTTGCTGGATTCCCTCTTACCCCTGCGGAACTGAAATGTCATTGTTACAGTGCATTGCTTTAAGGTGATGGATAACTATCATTATTATATTAGTCTTTTTTACAACTTCCCTTGTGTTTTACTCAAAGGGCAAATAGCTACCCTCTGGATAACACAAAGCAAGGAACAAGCTCTCCAGTACTACAGGAAGGTCATCATTTCTCATCCACGTATCTTCTACAAGTCAATCATTAATCCCAAATTGCTCTGTGATCTTGGTTCATCATCCTTGCCGAGGTCTGCATCTGATTTGTCTCCTGAAATTTCTTGAAATTTAATTTCTATTTCAGTGTCTTCAGTGATAAAGTATATGTTTATAAAGGACAAAAGACTGTTCATTTGCAGAAGAGGATTGATTCTTACTGCAGTGGTTTTAGTTTCATAAGGATTTGTCTATACGAAATTAGTTCAGCCCTTGGCCAAGCCCCTCATTTTAGTTTCCTGGCTATGTAAGCCTGCCAGATCTATGACACAATGTTCTTGGTTTTTCCATCCCCTTGCTCTTCACAGCCTCCAGAACACTGAGATAGATATACCTCTACTCTGAATTAGATTCTAGGAAATACACTCAAATCTCTTGTAAAACTCAAGCGAACTCAAACACGGCTTTTCTTAAAGGCATGACAGAACCAGAAAAAACTGTGTTCAGCTGAACAGGGATCATTCTGGCACCACACCTCTGTTCCACACTGGGATGCAATTTCTTCATTTTCTCATTGTTTAGAAATGTTGACTTACTTTATAAATCCACATACTGCAATTCATTTCTTCATTTAAGGAAAAAACTTACAAGATGTTGGAGGACACCCAGTGTTTCTCATTCCTCATGTAGAACTTTAAGTACTTTCTGCAGAGGTTTTTCTCTCTACTGTGGCCTGAAAGTCTTGTCAATATGTTGCAATAATTGCCTCCAGTTCCTGTTCTGGGCTGATCTCTGTGAGAAGAAAGCATTACATCATCTAATAACAGGATGGAAAGCCTCTGAGACCAGACAGCTCATGGACTTCCAGCCCCAGAACAGTGAGAAGATAGAAGGACATTGATTAATACTAGCTAGCTGTTGGGATGCTTGTTTCTAATGCCATCATTAGCACACCAAGGAAGCACCTCAAAGCCATCATCCCGATAAAGAGTCACATGGCCTTGTAACTCTGAATAACACTTCTTTATGAAGAGTGTCTCAAAGCCAGGTTCAGAGTTTTTGACCTGATTGCAATGTCTAGCTCTGTGCACTATGGAGATTATTAATCATATATGAAGATTCTTTGTTCATTTATAAAACAGATATTCATAAATTCAAATATTTATATAGTCCTAATACAAAGCTGAGTGTTTAGGAGCCATGAGCATTAGCTATCAGTAGGCTAATGGCTAATGTTTCACCAAGTCAGTTATAACAAGAAATTGTTATGAGTTCATTTTCTATGGAAGAGATTCCAGTCAGTTGAATAGGACTTGCTCACCAGAAGCTTAAATTGGAAAGGTAACTTCTGAATATGTGGGTGGTGTGTATAAGGGAGGAAGTTACTGAAGATGATGACAACATTTCACTCTTAAGGAAAGCTCTGATTAACAAGTTGTCTCAGATAAAACTTTTCCTGTATGCATGTGCAGAATTCTCCAAATGGGTCTTGTTCAATTTGGGAGAAACAATCAGATGTAAACAAATGCATGCTTGAAATTACACTCACTTGCAATAGTCTATTATAGTTTGCTTGAACTTTACGAAGCCTTAGTTCATCTGAGAGGTGAGTCTCAGTTGGGTAATAGTTGTTGATTAATATATGAGGTCCCATGCAATGTAGCCAGCACCATTCCTGGAGAGGTGGACCTAAAATTTACAAAACGTTAGCTAGGCCTGAGCCTGAAAGCTAGAAATCACCATTACTTCATGATTTCTGCTGTAACCCCTAGACTGTGAGTGAGTTTGATGTTCAGAGGTAATGTGTGTGGAATAGCAAACATATCTGGCTTTAAGTTCCTGCCCTGACTTCCCTCAGTTTTGAACTCTAGTCTGTAAGCTGAAATAAACTCTTTCCATTCCTAAATTGCTTTTGCAAGGAGTGCTTTATCACAGCAATGGGAATCAAAATAGAATGATAGGCTTTCAGAAACCACGAACATGTTGACTTAAGAACTAAACATGGTGTCAGCTTTAAACTGCTGTTGCTAGTAGAACATCCTCTGAAACTTCCAGATATGTTTTCTATACTAATGTCATTTAATTCTTTCAAGTCTTCAGACACCAGCTATTCTAACATGTTTGAGTTCCCCAAGGGGAAAATGATTTTGTTAAATGGTATTGAAAATGAGTTCATTTCAGTGATAATAAAAGTGATGGTCTGTAAGATTTAAAATATATGAAATAAAGGATAAATTATTCTTTGTATGCATCGAATGTCTTGTTGAATTCCACCGAACAAATAAAAATGTAATCGTTAGACATTTTGAAATGTAAAGTCAATTTTATTAGCAAGTACTGTGGTCATTCAATTTTGCTGTCCCAATTCAAATTTGTTATCTGTTTTTGAAATTTAACTTTGTTCAGTATGAATCTAGTCCCCTTTGAGTGCAACTGTAAATAATAAGTTTTAAGTGTTTTTCATACCTCAGAAACTAAAAGGAGGGTTGTCCTTACTGAGTCTTTTGGTTTTAGTGCAATGACTTACATATGTATTTGCATAACAGAGAAGAGAAAAATGATGGATGACAGTGAAGTGCTGGGGAATTTATGAGCTCAGACACATTGCAGATTTCATCATCTACTGAGATATC